CCGACCCTGTGCGTATTCTTGTCAAACGTGAAGACGTCACCTTGGAGGGAATCAAGCAGTATTACATCCAGTGTGAGAAGGAAGAGTGGAAGTTTGATACGCTCTGTGATCTCTACGACAACTTGACGATCACGCAGGCGGTCATTTTCTGCAACACCAAGGCGAAGGTGACGTGGTTAGCGGAGCAGCTTCGGAAGGCCAATTTTGCGGTGGTGGCCATGCATGGCGACATGAAGCAGGACGAGAGAGACCTGATCATGAACGATTTCCGGTCTGGAAACTCCAGGGTGCTTATATCGACGGACGTGTGGGCCCGAGGCATCGATGTGCAGCAGGTTTCCTTGGTTATCAACTACGACTTGCCTTTGGATAAGGAGAACTACGTGCATCGTATTGGCCGTTCTGGTCGTTTTGGCAGGAAGGGAAAGGCCATCAATTTGTTGACCAAGGAGGACCGTGACGAGTTCAAGGACTTGCAGCGGTACTACAAGATCAAGATCCGTGAGATGCCGGTCGACTTTGGCGGGTGAGTGGTGGGTAAGTGCCACCGAGATGGTGGTTGAGAGGTCCCCAGCAATAAGCAAGGTCTATCCGGAATCGATATCATCAAAGAGGTCGTGATTGGATGATAGAGGGAGTAGGTCATCCACACCGCTAATGCTCTTCTAAAAGTACACTCTACAGCCACCAGGATGTTCACTCTACAGCCCCATGCATCGTGCTCATCGAGATCTCATCGAGATCTCATCACACATACCGCCATCGGTGCCACAAAAACACGGCACCAAAAATTCGCCAAACTGCAATGGCCACGTTGAACACTGCCAAAATCACCTTTTTGCGATTGCCTCATCGTGAATAACACTTTCCACAAGTAGACCCCATCGGATGTCCTGCGAAAAGTTGCAGCCATCAGTACATAGACATGCCCCACCACAGGCAACCATCCCACCAACCCACACAAAACCAATAAAGCAAACAAATCACCGCCAATAAAACCTCTCGAAAAGTTTTCCAAATTATTTCAATCCCCCTGACCACCCAATAATATCCAACCCTCTCCACCCCATCGAGCCTGGAGCCAGGCGTCCGTGCACACCTCCATCGCGAGGTCAATTTTTTTTGATCCACCAACACCTTCTCCAAGATGGACCCCCAATATCTTGCTGCGTTGGAGGAGACGCTCCAGCAGACCTTTGCGCCAGCCACCGTCAAGCTGGCTACGGCCCGCTTGTCCAAGGACTTCTACCTGAACCCATTGGCTTTACCATCTCTTTTCCACATCTTGCAGAATGCCGAGCAGGACCAGGTCAAGCAGTTGGCTGCCGTGGAGGCTCGTAAGCTCATTTCGACGAAATGGGAGAGCGTGGACGCCTCGTTGAAGGATCCTATCAAGGAGGCTCTTTTGCGCAACACCTTCACCCAGCAGAACAAGTTGATCAGACACTCCTCGGCCCGTGTTGTTGCTGCTATTGGAGAGATTGAGTTGGAGCAGAACCTGTGGCCTTACTTGTTGTCCACGTTGATCAACGGTATCAACGACGGCGACGCTCAGACCAAGGACATGGCCGTCTACACCTTGTACACTCTTTTGGAGACCCAGATCCCAGCTCTCGGTCCATACCTGGACGACTTTGTGACCCTTTTCGCCAACTTGTTGCAGCAGCAGGGTCCAAGAGACATTAGAGTGAACGCTACCATGTCTCTTGAGGTGCTTTCTCAGTACATTGAGGAGGAGGCCGAGGTTAACACCGCTACTGCCAACAAGTTCAAGAACTCCATCCCCGGTATGGTGCAGGTGCTCAGAGAGACCATCGAGGCTGACGACTCCGAGCAGACCAAGAATGTGTTCAACGTGTTCAACTCGTTGATTTTCTTGGACAACAAGTTGATGGGCGACCAAATCGTCGGAGTTATCCAGTTTGTCGTGGAGATCGCCACCAACCAGTCCTTGGACGAGGACATCCGTTGTATGGCCATGCAATTCTTGATTTCCGTGGTTTCCATGAGAAAGTCCAAGGTTGTGTCCAACAACTTGGGTCCTTCCCTCACTCTTGTTGCTCTCAAGATCGCTTCCGAGGAGATCGATGTGGACGATGAGTTGAACAACGAGGACGAGGAGAACGAGAACGAGGAAAACATTCCTTCCACTTTGGCTCTCCGTTTGATGGCCATCTTGTCCGGCGAGTTGCCTCCATCTCAGGTGATCAACCCATTCTTCGAGAACTTGGAGGCCCAGGTCACTTCCAAAGACATGTACGCCAGAAGAGCCGGTCTTTTGTGTATTGGTGTCGCTTCTTCCGGTGCTCCAGAGTACTTGGGCGCTCAGGCCGCTAAGCTCGTTCCTATTATCGTCAGAGGCTTGCAGGACCCCGAGATCGTCGTCAAGGTTGCTGCCACTAGAGCTTTGGCTCAGTTGTCTTCTGAGTTGCAGGATGCCATTGCCGAATACCACAAGGAGTTCTTGCCTCTTCTCGTGGACATTATCAACAACGCCGCTCACGTTATGACCTACAAGCACGCTTGTTACGCTTTGGACGGTATCATTGAGTTCATGGGCCACGATGCCATTGCCGAGTACGTTCAGCCATTGATGGAGAAGTTCTTCGCCATGTTGCAGGAGGCCAACTCCTCCTCTTTGAAGGCTGCCATCGTGTCTGCCATTGGTTCCACTGCTTTTGCTTCCGGTAAAGGTTTCACCCCATACTTCCACCAGTCCGTTCAAACTTTGGAGCCTTTCATCCAGAATGCTGGTGACACCGAGGGTATGTCTGAACAGGACATTGAGTTGAGAGCTCTCACCTTCGAGAACATCTCCACCATGGCCAGAGCCGTCGGTTCTGAGTCTTTCTCCTCTTACGCTAAGCCTTTGGTTGAGGCTGCCTACGTGGCTCTCAACTCTGAGCACTCTAGAATCAGAGAGTCCGGTTTTGCTTTCATCACCAACATGGCCAAGGTTTACGGTTCCGAGTTCGCTGGTTTCTTGGACAACATCGTTCCACAGATCTTGAAGTGCTTGAACCAGGAGGAGTTTTCCTTCAACCTCGAGGAGGGCGATGCTGAGGGTCTTCTTGACGATGACGAGGAGAACCTCGGTGACAAGTTCAAGGTCAACACCGGTATTACCATCGAGAAGGAGATTGCCTCTGTTGCTCTTTCTGAATTGGCCATGGGTACCGGCAGTGCTTTCGGTAAGTACGTCAACGACTCCATCACCACTTTGGCCGAGCAGATTGAGGTTTCTTACGGTATGAGAGAAGCTGCCATGAACGCTCTTTGGAAGATCGTCCGTGCCATGTTCAAGGCTACCTACGGCGACAACTTCAAGCCTCCAATTGGTGTCCCACAGCAGCCTTACATTGACGGTCCTATTTTGGACTTGATCAAGCAGGCCAGAGAGCTTACTGTTACCAACTTGGAATCCGAGTTTGAGGTTACCTTGGCTGGTTGTGACTTGGACAACATCTGTGAGGCTCTTAATGCCTTCGGTGCCATTGCTGTCACCAGCGGTCCTTCTGATACTGGTTCTTTGGAGAGATTGTGTGGTTCCTTGATGGACCTTTTGAAGAAGGAGCACCCATCTCAGATTGACGACGAGGAGCCGATCGAGGAGGGCGAGGATGCTTCCGAGACCGAGGCCATGATGTTCGAGTCTGCTTTGGAAGTGTTGATCTTGCTTTCTATGAAGTTGGGTCCTGACTTTGTCAAGGTTTTCGAGACCTTCAAGGGTGTCATTCTCTCCAACGTCACTTCCAAGTCCAAGGGTAAGAGAGTCAGCTCCATTGGTGCTTTGGCTGAGATCTCCGTTGGTTTGAAGGACTCCAACCCATACGCCCAAGAGTTGATGCAGGTGTTCAGCGATAGATTAGCCAATGACAAGTCCTTGGAGGTCAAGGGTAACGCCGCCTACGGTGTCGGTGTGATCATTGAGTTCTGCCAGGTTGACTTTTCTGCTCAATACCAGCAAATCTTGCAGATGATGTTCCACTTGTTGAGCAGATCTGACAAGGAGGGCCAGGTTGACGACCAGGAGACCAAGGATGTGGTCAACAGAGCCAACGCCAACGCTTGTGGATGTGTTGCTAGAATGGCCTTGAAGAACCAGGCTGCCATTCCACTTGAGCACGTGTTGCCAGCTCTTCTCAGCCACTTGCCTTTGCAGTCTGCTCCTGAGGAGAACGTTCCAATCTTGAAGTGGATCATCAGCTTGTACGAGAGCGGTAACGAGATGATTGCTTCTCAGTCCGAGAAGGTGATCCAGATCTTTGCCGAAATCTTCCAGAAGGAGGCCGAGAGACTCAAGTTGATTGCTGAGTCCACTTTGGGCAGAGAGGAGTACCTCGACAGAATGAAGCAGTTCCAGACCGAAGAGATCAAGCAGAAGGTGATTGACTTGTTGAAGTTCTTGAACCAGAAGTACGCTTCTGTGATCGCTTCCCACGAGATCTTGAAGTCTGTCATTGCATAACTGTCATATACATATGAAAAAGAGAAAAACATGGGGGATTCATATACTATAATTTAAGAATAAGAGAGGTGACTGTAGGCGGGTGTTCATACTGCGAGGCCCTAATACGATGGTATGTTGATCTCGTGAAAACATTGACTATACCCAATATCTTCAACAATTTCCCGAAAAGTCAAAAATATCAGGAAATTTAGTCGGTCCTGGAAAATACCGATATACTGATCTTTCATTATACCTGCCTGAAGTCGCTCTAGGACAGTTCCAAGCTGACCATTGGTTGCCGAATCGGCATAGACAAGACTTGACTGCTACAAATTTTCACATTTACTGTCCTGCTTTTCTCCTGGAATGTGCATCTCGAGAAAAATAATTCTCTCGTACTTGAGTATGTGGTTACTGTATTGGGCCTTCAATGGCACATCTCAAACAACTGAGATGGACAACGAAAAATAATCCAAGCCAACTAATGCAATGCAAGTAATATAAATGTAATGAGATTGCCGGTGAGTCTTAAATTTCAAAGATATAGAAAATGGCTCTCGACGCTCAAGGTCTGTGTATCGCTGCCTTCTCCTTCATAGCCTTTGTGCTCTTGATACCACCATTTTTCTACCACCACAGGCAAAAGAATATCCCAGCATGCAGCTTGATTTTTTGGCTCTGCTATGAGAATCTCATCGCTTTTGTCAATGCATTAATCTGGAGTGGTGATGATTTTGATGCGGTAACTACTGCGCCAGGCTACTGTGATGTTACTGTCAGACTCACCAGTGGAGCTTCCTCGGGAAAGTTGTGTTGCATTGCTACCGTCATGTTCAACTTGTTCATGATCATTCGTGCTGAAAACCACAAGTTTTTGAACCCCAAATCGAAAAGACGCCCTTTGACCAATATTGCCATGTGCTGGATCACTCCAATCTTCGTCATGAGCACTTCGATTATCGTTCAAGCTACCCGTTATGTCATCTTCAGATATCGTGGCTGCCTTGCTGCTTACGCATACTCATATTTGACACTCATCTTGGTGCAGATCTGGAATCTCGTGTGGTCGGTGGTTGCTCTTGTGTTTGCCTTGTTGACCTTGATCACATACCTCAAGAAGCGCAGAGATATCAAAGACATTTTGAGATGCACAGGCTCCGGCCTCAACCAACGAAGATTTGCACGTTTGGTGATATTCAGCTTGCTCATCATCTTTGTTTTAGTGCCCTTCGCCATCTATAACTTTGTCAATGCTGCTGACACTTTCGGGGTCCTGACTTTCAACTTGAAGGACATTCACAACGAGCACTGGGGCACGATATACGCCTTCGATTATGGAACGTCACAGCTTGCGTCGCCGATTATCAACATTTGTCTTGCATTCTGTACCTTCATCCTTTTTGGCTTGGGAACAGATGCACTCTCTATGTACCGCCGCTTCCTTCGCTTCATTGGATTCAAAAAGATTTCAATGGGCAGCAACAGTGACGATCCTGTTATCTCCACAGAGTTCACAGAAAGCAAACACCTCACTAGGGACACTGTTCGGACCGAAGGAACGATGGCCACCATGCACGAATTGACAGACTATAAGGAACTCGTGTTTGGTGAAGCGGAAAGATCCTTAGATCTGCCTGACACCTTGATAAAAGAAAGCGACATAGGTGTGACTTATACCCTCAAACCTGGAGATCGCCTGTCATCCGATATCGAAGACCAGATCAGTGGAGAGACTGATGTCCATTTCGAGTTTCATGTCGTTCCCAAATAGATGTACCTTTAATTGATAAGATTTTTGAAGACCCTCTCGAACTCTTTTGAATTGACCTTTCCCTGGGTTTGTCTCATGGCGAGACCGATAAGGTGGTTGATAGAGTTGGATTTTCCGTTTTGTATCTTTTCAACCACGTCTGGATTAGCCGCGATGATATCTTGACAGATCTCAGTGATCGCCTCATCCAAGTCTTTAGTGGAGGCGCTGTTAGCAGAGCCCAAATCGTACTTCTCAACCAACTCATGCATGGGAAGATGCCTCTCCTTAGGGTCTAATTGTAAAAGCTGTAACAACAAAAGCTTAGCGGAAGAAAATGTGATCTTGTCCTTCTTAACCATAACCATCAACTCGGTCAAGCTTCTAGGACTAATGGCCGTACGGTCGAAAGGAACTTCCAACTTATGGAAGGCACCTAGTAATTCGTGGAGGAGCCAGTTGTTGACTGTCTTGATGTCAAGCATGGCTCCAATGCATCCGTACTCATACAAGTCAAGGTAGTATTTGAGAATGTCAACGTTATCCACAAGGAAACGAGCGTGCTTGATCTCGAGACAGTATGGCTCAGTGGTGAGCTTGTCCAAGATCTCTTCCGGCAACTCTGGAAGGATTGCACGGATCTCTTCCCCAATCTGAGGGGAGAGGAAAATGCCAGGAATCTCTGTGTCGGGCATGTATCTGTAGTCATTTGCATCTTCCTTGTCTCTTCTCCTGTAGGTGGATTTACCGTCCCAGGCCCTGGTTTCTTGAATGATGGGCTCGTCCGACGTCTTCAAATGCTCCACTTGTCTATTGTACTCATAGGTAGCCGCAGCCACAATCTCAGAAGTAGATCCCAAGTTCTTGACTTCCACTCTCTTTCCTCCGTTCACAGAAATATTCACATCGCATCTCATGGCGCCCTTCTCCATGTCTCCGGAGCAAACGCCCAAGTGAGACATCAATGTCAAGTACTTTCTGACGAATGATTTCACCTGCTCAATGTTCTTGAAGTCAGGCTCAGTGACTAGCTCGATGAGTGGCACGTTTGCTCTATTAAGGTCCACAGTGATTGCTCCATCGTACTCGTTGTAGTTCATTTTTCCGGTGTCTTGCTCAAGCTGAATCTGGTCAATTCGTATAGTGTGGTCTTCACTGACATTATCGTACTTCTTGGTCAAGTGCAATTGCCCACCTTTGGCCAATGGTCTATGATGCTGTGTCAACTGGTACCCCATTGGTTGATCGAGGTAGAAGTAGTGTTTACGGTCAAAATGACACAACTCACTGATGTTAGAGTTCAATGCAGTGGCAGCTTTAAGTGCCAAAAGCAAAGCTTCTGGGTTCAATTGGGGAAACGTTCCGGGAAGACCATAGTCGAAGTAACTAGCATTGGTGTTTGGAGGGGAATCTGGATCGTTCTTGGATAGCGAAAAGAGCTTGAACTTTGTTTTTAGCTGGGTGTGAATTTCAAGCCCACATTTGAAGGGATAGCCTTGCTGGGGCTTCCAGGTCAGTAATCGTCTTAGAAGCATATCTAGTCTATTGAGATCGATCTTCGTTGCTAGTGCAGGAATTTGCAACAATAGCACAACGTCGGAGGGGTGTTCGATGTAGGTCACCTGTGGTGAAGGTGTAGAATTTAGGGTTTGAGAATTGAAATAACATTTAATTGAAGAAAGTATTGATAATCTTGGTGTTTGGGTATGATCATTTAGGACTGGTGCTTCGACTTCCATCTACACTGAGGAGATGAGAAAGCCGAATAGCCTACGGAACTTTATTTTACGATTACTGGACTTTTCGAATCTAAAGCAATGGCTGCTTGAATCTGATTTGGTTCTTCATTGGCTGAAAAGTCGACATTGCATCAGTCAACTCGACTTGCAGTGGCTAAAGGTCTACTATTAATGGTGGATGGCTATGAATGCAACAGCACTTTATTAACTACCTTTCCTCAAAATAGAAGCCAATTAAAAGTTCAATACAAAATTGAACGCTAAAGCCTGCTTTTAAATTCTAACTGCCATAACCACCAGTGAGACACATTGCTCACCCGCAAGTACCCACAGCAACCTCTACCGCAGTTTCCGAAATTGACCTCCGAATCAATTATCGACGAATAAGTTCCACTCGAAACAAAACTCTCCAAAGAACCTCTTCAAATCTTTAAAACCATCACATAGGTCATGGTCCACTGTGACCAGCTGCGGTACTGCTTGCAACCAATGGCTGCAAACTGAGCCTACCCACTGATCTGAATGCACCAGAATCCAAACAAAACCAGACAATTCTTAACAGCTTTTGATCTCTAATCGAAAAACACCACGCCTCGCCTTCGGTCGCCACCGTGACTAATACGGTCATGGTAACACCTGCCACACTTCCCAGATTACGTAATCCACCGTCCGTAGCCAAGAGCCATCATTTTCTCTACTTTAAACCTCTCCCATCAACCACCACCAAAACGCTCACTGAAATTCAAAAATTCCCCAAATTCTCTCCACAAACACGCTTTGTTTACACTTCCACAGGCCATGTGTGGGACCGTTTTCGCAACCTCGTGGGTAGGACACGACCCCAGGCAGTCCTGCCTGTCATAGCGCCCCACAAGGGGTGACGATAAGATAAAAGGATCCCTATCGCAGTAAACACACCACATCTACAGAAATCACGAAAACAAGCCGCCAATGAGATCGCAGTTCAAAGACGAGAACTCGTTTGAAAAAAGAAAGTCCGAGTCGACCAGAATCCTCCAGAGGTTCAAGGATAGACTCCCAGTCATTTGTGAGAAGGTAGAGAACTCGGATATCCAGGAAATCGACAAGAGAAAGTACCTTGTGCCAGGAGACTTGACCGTCGGGCAATTCGTGTACGTGATTAGAAAGAGAATCAAGTTGCCCTCGGAAAAGGCCATTTTTATCTTTGTCAATGACATCTTGCCACCCACAGCAGCCTTGATGAGTACGGTCTACGAGGAGCACAAGGATGAGGACGGCTTCTTGTACGTCTTGTACTCGGGCGAGAACACGTTCGGTGCCATCGACGGCGTGGAGGAGATCCACGAGCTGGAGGAGGTGGAGCTCTAGGTTTATACTGGAGACTATATATCATAGACCGTTGACGGGTCAATGGCTATGCCAGTGAATTCAAATTTTATTAGCTATAGAAGCGTGGGGGGCGCCGCCGGAGGGGACGGGCTTAGGTCTGGGCATTGACCAACTTGTCCTTCTCCAACTTGATCTTGATGCCCAATCTCTTGAGATCATCGCCCTTCAACTTGTAGAAGAGCTCGTAGAGCTTGTCGGTCAAGATGGTCTCGTGCTTGTTGGCCTTGCCGACAGCCTTCTTGCCCAAAGCCTTCAAGAGCTGCTGGGTCTCGTCAACCTGGACGCTCAAGCCGTGGATGGTGGAGTCGTAGGTGTGCTTAACCTTGGAGCCCAAGTCCTTCTCCAAGTAGTTTCTGTACTCCTCGACAGCCTGGTCCAAGTCAGCCTTGATCTTCTCGGCCTCCTCGGTGCTCTTGGCCTTCTTGGTAGGCTCAAAAGACAAGATGTAGTTGTTGTTCCATGCGTCAGAGACAGTGTCAGTGACAGCAGCATAAGTGTCAACCGCCTTGTCCTTTCCAGATGGAGTTCTGAAAATGACAAGGAGAACGGTGACAATTGCAACGATAATAATAATTGGGTTGATAGTTCTGGCCATATTGTGTAATTCGTGATGGTATTTTTTCTGCCTCCAAGTCACCTCTTTATAGCCTACTGTGGGATCATGCACGTAAGCTGCTTGCTCCCAGTTGTTGCTACCCCGAGTGTGGCAAAGGGTGGCAATATTTTACGAAAAAATTTGAATGCATTGAAGGTTTTGAAAATCTTGTTTTCCAATTGGTAGTGGCCGTTAGATCAATGGCCCAAATCCTCGGTGAAATGTGTATTTTGCACCCATTGAGGGCGCATCCACAGTAGATTATTGCTACACAGTCACTCACTTAAGCGAATTGCTGAATTCCTGATCGATGCATGATGCCCTGCTCCATGGTCTGGCAGCAAAGATGCTAAAATGCCAAAAATAATGACTCCGGCGTGATTCGAACACGCGCATCTTACGATAACAGAACTTGAGTCTGCCGCCTTAGACCGCTCGGCCACAGAGCCACTTTATACAAGATGGTAGTGCAGGTAAAATATGTCTTAATAGTGTGTTTGTCATTCAAAAGCGAAAATGAGTTCTAGTTAGGTCAATATAAACTTCAAATGGACCTTTTTGCCTTAAAGTGCTTTAAAAAGCCGTATTCCCGGCGGATCGCGAGATATCGGCGTTTAAAGTTTTCAAAGATCTAAATCACACATAATCGGAGACTTTTTCAATATTTCTTTAACGTTCGGGTAAGCTGGCACTCGTGTTCTCATAGAATTCATATCCCATGGTTGCTGGACTTTTGTGTGGCCAGATGTTGCCTGCCCACTCTAAGCGCCTGTTTAATTTGACTTTGAAAAATAAGCTTTGACATCAGAAGACTCCACCCAGAGCAAGCTACAAACTCAATTCACACCTTCCCATATGTCTATAAACTCTCCTATCATATCATCCCATACCATACCATTGCCCGCCTACAAGACATCCTTGTACTTTGCGTAGACATCATCGACAATCTCCCTCAACTCCTGCTTCCTTTCTTCACCACACCACGATCCGTTAATACCATTGAGCACAATTGTGCACCACTCTTTGACCGAAAAGCCAAAACGGGTCTGAACAGCGACATAGTTGTCCAAGATGTATCCACCAAAGTAGGCGGGATCATCTGAATTGATGGAGAACAAAATCCCTTTATCAAAGAACTCACGGTACGGCAACTCGTCTACATCTTTGACAACCTGCAACTTTACGTTCGACAAAGGGCACATGGTCAAAAGAGTGTCATTCTTGACCAACCGGTCCATAAGCGCTTCCGACTGCTTTGAGTTCACACCATGGTCAATACGGC